GTGGTGACCTGGGAAAGTGACAAACTGCCAGAGCCGCTGTTTGTTAGTTTAAAATGAATCGCCCTATCACCAAATGTTCAAATTCATATGAGGAACACAAGAAATATTAGCAATATTTTTAAAGTAGTTCAGCATAAAAAAGAAATTTCTAAAGTCCTGAATCAATATACCAACAGTGTTAAGTAAAGAATAAGTTTCTCTTTTCCAATATACCAACAGTGTTAAGGAAAGAATAAGTTTCTCTTTTCCAATTCCAAAATGCCAAACTGCATTCTTGTCTTTATTGTCAACCCAATTCCTAGAACTTTCTATTTTTTGTTTAGTAAAGTAGCACCAAAGAAAACCATGTTGCAAATACACTCTTCATCTTGTCAGAGTTGGCATGAAGATTCAATCTATCCATTGAATCTTTCACTGGAGATCACAATAAATGATGAAGCAGCAGTAGTTGCAGGCTCAATCTGACCCTACCAAGGACAAATGAATTTCATGATTGTGACTCTCGAAACTAAAGAGTTCACTGTCAACCTTAAGAAAAAGAGCTCTACTTTTCATACAAAGGAAAGGATGGGAAAGCCCAGTAAAACCCAGTAAAACCCAATTTTGTATGGTTTCCACACTGAGATATTTTCTTAAAGATTAGCTGTTCTCTTATCTTTACTGATTTTTAAAATTTCTTTGTCTTAGGCTATCTTTTTATATTCTTAATTACATTTGATAGCCAGGGATCTCAAGAGTAGTGAATAGACAAATCACTACCAAATGCTGCTGGGAAATAGATTTATGGCTATGCTGAATATTTTCATTCTTGAAACTCTTGGCAGCTAGTGATGCTTCACACATGATATCAATTAGGAGACAGAATCAACAGCCTCACAGAATGCAGGCTGGCTCCTGTGTATAGCAGGCTGGCATAAAAAACCAAAAGATTACCTCAAAATTAGTAAAAGTGACCTGGCAAGGGTCTCTGAATTGAGTATATTTTACAAGTTTAACACACATCACAGGACATAAGAGCAGCAGTTTCACAACTAATGAACTCGTACTGAAGAAGCTTGGAAAGGCTTAAAACAGAAAGCTATATTATTACCTCCTATGCTCATCATGAGAGAATAGATTATTTCTACTTATTCAGATGAACATAAAACTATTCATTACCAAAAATTAAAAGAAAATTTTTGTCATCAAAGTTAACAGTGATGCAGTCAGTTTCAACAAGTTCTATAACTCAGGACATTTGTAATATCTATAAGGAAAACATGATAACATGATTCACCTTTAGTAAGTATCAATAAAATAGTGGGTTCATCCTCTAGACAGGAAAGAGAAATGAAAATAGGGGATAAGAAAATAAGTATTCCTTACAATAAAATGAAGTTTAACTGATTGCTGGTATTGCTTTATGACTTATTAATGCCCACCTTGTAACAAAAAAGATTTAAAGGGGCTAGTATCTGTTTGTTAAAAAGACAAGTTATTGAATTCTTAATTTATTCGCACCATTTCAGTTGAAGTTTCTTAAAAGTGAATTCTGATAAAAATATTATACTGAACTTGGATTTCATAACATTAAAGAAAGAAGGAATGGGGGGAGAGAGATAAGACAATAGGAAAACAGAAATGCCTTTAACCAAGCAAAGAAAATAATTATTGAAGTATCAAAATAACAAATAGGCTTAATTAAAACTTCTACAGGCTAAATGTATCCCCCTCCAAACGCACATGTTGAAATCCTAATCCCCATGACTGTGGTATTATGGGATGGAATCTCTGGGAGATGATTATATCATGAGGGTAAAATTTTTGTGATTGGAATTAGTGTTCTTATAAAGAGACTCCAGAGAGCTATCATGTGTCTTCTGCTGTGTGAAGTTAGTGAAAAGACAGCTGTCTATGAGAATGACAGCCATCTATGAAGCAGGAAGTTTGCCCACACCAGACAATGAACATGCCAATACCTTGATCTTGGACTTCTGAGACTCTAGAACTGTTAGAAATAAATGTTTGTTGTTAATAAGTGATCAAGTTTATGTTATTTTTGGTATAGCAGTCCAGGTAGCTTCAGACAGTGATACAGTAAACTTGAACTCATAATTATCATTATGGGCACTGGTTTGGATTGGGGAAATGGATTTGGGGCTAAATATTCCACAATCCAAAATAGTCTCCTTTAAGTATAGAAACAAGTATGAAGAGTCTCCTCAGCAGTGAAGGAATAGGGTATCATTTGAAGAAAGAAATTAAGTCACTATCATTATGTGAGTTTTAAGGGAAAGATTAACACACACACTCTCTCTCTACTTAAAACCTCCCTGATAGCACTAACTATATACAATTATGTACCAATTTTTCAGAAGCAAGTTCCACATTTAAAGTACCTATAAGGGAAAAAATTATGTCAGGTCTTTTTTTGTGTGTAATCTCATTTTATCCTGATTTGAAGAAATAGAGTTTCAGGAGGTTAAGAAAATTACACAAAGGATACACCAATAAATGTTCTATATCAGGTATAGTCCCATGACCACCTAAAAGACTATGCTATCTACCACATTGGGGAACATTTTTCATATCTCTGCTGGTACTGCAATGAATATTGTAGAGAAATGGAATGAGAAAAAACAGTACTACACTCTGAGAGTTTCTTAAGAGTTAATAAGCATCTATAGACAATAGAGCCTTATAGTAACAGCAGAGGACAGGTGGAGAACACAATAAAATTATAGACACAAGAAGAAAAAATTACTATTTGTTAGGAGGAAAAGTTAATTTCAGAAATAAGTTGATTTCTGTTTGGAAAAAAATAATGAAAAGGAAATACTCCAAAATGGTAACAGTGGTCATCTTTTAGAGATGATTGTATAAAACTCTTTCTTCTCTCAAAACTTCTTTTAAAAGTGCATTTAAAAATAAGGTTTTATGAAAATAACAATTATTAAAGTGATACTTTCCAATTTTAAATGACAGGAATTGATGCTATAAAATACAAAAGTCCTTGGTTATGTGTCGTATTCCCCTGCTGTAAAAGTCCTCTGCCATGAACCCTAAAATCTTTGCCAACTATTGGGCAATGAAAACATCACCGTCAGGACACATCAGTTCCAGCACAGTGATGTTTACTGCCTGATAAAATAAGTGTTTACCCAAAATAGTATTAGTTTACTCTTATACCCAGATTCTAAGTAAATACATAACCTACCTCTGAAGTCTATTTTCCTCATCTGTAAAATGGTGTTATAATCCCTATATTGCACAGTTAGGGAACATAAACGAAAAGTGACATGAGTGTGTAAATGCTCAATACAGTCACTGCTTGCATTATGAAACTATATTCATTATCATATACACAATAATTACCATAAGCTAAAAGAACTCTACTTAGTCTCATTACGTAAAAAACCCATACAGAGATCTGATCAGATCACTGGGAAGGGGTAGAGAGGAGCCATAGGGGGTGGTTGCCTGAGGCAATGGTAAACAGTCTAGGATGTAATTAGCTGAGCAGTTGAAGGCCTCTGGAACCATGGAATTATGGGCCAGAAAATTTAAAATAAAAGGAGAGCCGAGACTGGCTCCCTGGCTCTCTTCCTCAAGGATGCCTCGATGACCGTGCTGCAGCTGCCTGCATTTCCCAAAAGACAGTATTTGGGATGGGAGAAGAAACTCTGGGCCCAGCCTAGGATGGGGCTGGCCTGGCAGGGCGTGGCAGTTATCCTTCTTTGGGTGTTCTACAGATGACAGGCTCTGAGGCAGAAGCCTGCCGTTCTTCCAATATTGTGTAGCTTTTGTATCTTATGTTGTTTCAGTTTGTATATTAATCCTATAGAAATAAGATAATTAAAAACTAACAGGTGAAATGATAGGGGAGCTGAAGAGTTAAAGAGTTTAGTCTTAATTGAGAGGGTTAAGTGATTAAGGCTGTAACTAAAGAATTAAAGAGCTTGGCCTTAGTTGGTAGGCTTAAGTGATTAAAGCTGTAACTAGAGTTTAGCCTTAATTGATAGGCTTAAATGATTAAAGTTGTAACTAAAGAGTTAAAGATTTTAGCTTTAAGTTATAGGCTTCAGTGACTAATGCTTGTGGAAAACTGTTACTCCAATATTGTGTAGCTTTTGAAAAAAGACTCCTTTCCTTTATCACCAAACCTTTGCCTCCAGAATTTTGCCTAAAGGGTGGTGGTGGGCAGCAGGACCCACCTTGCTGTTTGGTAACAAAATTACAACTGTGTAGGTATGTTCACTCTGTCATAAACCAAAGTATAATCAGTGAATGATCATTGATGTAATTACCACACTTCTCCAAAACAGTAAAGATTCTCTGTTGTGCTATAACTTAGGGAATGGTGTAAAGCTCAGAAAATGATACAGAGGTTGAGTTCTAATGTCAATCCATCCAATCTGATCACTACAAAAGACAGGATCTTTTGCCAGTCTTCAGTAATTTTTGCTGGCTATAAGACTACCACTGGCCCATGCCAATTTCCTCACCTCATCTGCTTGTAAGGCTCTCTAATCACAAAACTAAGATGCAAATGTATTCAAGAATTCTCCTATAAGCCAAATGTTCCCTTCTATAATAACAAAAATAAATAAGAAAATAAATAAGCCTCTCCAGAGAATGGCTACATAACCGTATGTTTCAAGATGACCCTCTACAAAGGATATCTAATGTAGAAGGTCTTGCTTCAGTCCTTCAAACAAAAATCCGGGAATGAATAATCAAATGTTCAATTACTTTAATCTTACATTCTTGTAATTAATATAACTTGTAAGTCATTTTCTTAGAAATCATACAAACCTTTTCAAAAAAACCTACTTCAGGAGGGTGGGGGCAAGCATGAGAGGGTGAAGGGGGAGATAAATGGTGATGAAAAGAGACTTGGGGTGTTGAACATAAAATACAATATACAGATGATTTGTTATCTAGAACTGTGCTCCTGAAACCTATATAATTCTATTAACCAATGTCATCCCAATAAATGTAATTAAAAAAAAAAAGCCTACCTCAGCTTGGCAGAGTGCATGAAGACCTTGTAACACCAAGGCCGCTGGAGTAGCTTGATCAGGCTTGGTGCATTCATTCAACACCTGTGAAATAGCTGCCAACATATCTGCTCCGTGCTGATACGGTCTACAGGAAATGACAGTTTAGAAAGAAGATTACAGCCAGAGAGCTGCAATACCACTCCCATCTCTTTTGCTTGAACCAAAAGCATTAATGCTTTCCTTTACTCTTGTGCCTACTAAATATTGACCTTCATATAATAACACCATGTATTTTCCTTCAAAGATTTTCATCATTATCATCATTTTTGTTGTAAGTTAAGGCTCATTTTTGATATAGAAATATTATCCAAAAAAAGAAGACATTGAATAGAATTCTCCCTAAATTATAAATTGTCTGAATTGACAAAATTTCAAGTGTATAATAGCAAAAGGAACTTACTGAGATTATCAGTAAGAAGAGTACTAGGCCTGCCTGGAAGTTGCTCAGGTATCAGACACTGGCCATAGGAGTATTGGACAGCAGATGATTTCCTATAGTACTGTTACTAGTTAAGGTGGCTATACCTATCACATGATGATGATAAAAAATAATAATATGAATTATAACTGATGAAGCACCTATCCAAGCACTGTGTTGAGTTCACTTCACTCTTCCTCCTCCTCCCTTCCTCTCCTCTCGATTCTACATATATTGTGCTATCCCTAAAATGCTTTTAACTGCATGAGGAAATGCTCCAGCCCATCCTCTGCATTCCTTGTAACCCTGCAGTGATATAATAATACTTTTCTCTAAGTAACAAAATATCAGTTGATGAAATTGCCTGACTGGATTCTATAGTTTCACTGTCTGACAAATGGAAATCATTTTCCAAAACTGGAAAATTGACAGATCTTGAGGTGGCAAGTGAATGGAACACAGTAACTTCTTAGTAGATGCTGATCTGGTCCAATATTTAACCTCTCCAGAGCTGAGCTTTACAAATATAAAATTAAAGTGTCAGATAATTTCTCATCTCTAAAATCTTTTCTATCCCAATACTTCAAGCACATCCAAACTCTCAGTTTTTGTGTTCCATGTGTGTAACTTTTAGGCTAAGGTCATTTTTGTGTTGCCAAAAGGCTGAAGCTTAGAAAAGAGGCAGCACTGCTGAGGCTTAGATATATTCTGATCCAAGATTTTGCTTGAAACAGAAATCATCCACGCTGTTAGTACCTTGGCCAACCCATTCATTGCACAACTTTAGGAAGTACCATCCAAGGTGACATTATTGAAAAATGAGGTGATATTGGTCCCAGGAATTCTACAGTGCAGTGGCTAAACATATGGAACTGCAGGATTATAGCGCATTTTAAATGTATCAAATCTATGTCCTCCCTTAATATTTTTACCTTACTCTAGTCAAGAAAAAAAATTCTGGCCAGTTGGAGCTTCGCTTACTGTTACTGCAGTCTTGTCCCCTCCTACCTATTTATCAGTTCAACCTCTAGAACAGCAGAGTCATCTCGCTAACATCTTCATGTCTTCCTAAACCATATAGTATATACATGGAAATTCAAGATCATTTTCTTCCTTGTAATAATTCCTAATAATTAATTCCATGTAATATGTCACAGATAATGCCTTCTCTATTAAAACTTGATAAAAATCAGACATAACATAGGGAGAATATGAGAACAGTTTGATTTCCCTGTGTAAAGAATGTATAAAGTAGAAGGTCTTGCTTCATTCCTTCAAACAAAAAACTCTGGGAATGAATATTCAAACTTTGACAAAACTGTTTAGGTTTCAGTGATTTATATATGGAAAAATAAAAAAAAATCATGTTTTATTACAATATTAAACTGCTATCCAGAAAAAGGTATAAATATCCTATAAACCTAGATTAGATATAAGACTAGGCCTGAAATGAAAAGACATGCTTGCTTCCCAAAGTTATTTTCCATTATTACTAAATTTTACTATCAGAAAACTTAAATTGAAAATTTAAATATTACTTAAATATTTTCTGCCTATGTTTCCTAAATTCTTGCTTGCAATAAAAAAAAAAGCAAAACAATATTATCATGGTATACATTCCCAATGGTTAAGCACCTCTTACCTTTGCTTACATACGTCTCTGATCGATGCTGCTTTAGCAATCAGTTTTTCCCATTGGACTTCCTTGCCCACAGACAGAGAGGGCATATCGGACATGGCCATGAATTGCTGCAGTTCAGGATAGACACGATCCTACCAAGACAAAAAAGTTAATTTCCCAATTTGAGTTGAATAATCATTATCTTCCTTTTATGCAGCATTTTCATCTCCAAATTTCCCATTTGCATTGCAAATTATAATGTATTTCTTCTAATCAGCAGAGAAGAATGCTGTTGTGATTGCTGGGGATTTTCTTACAGTCCCATGTACTGTTCATTGCATAAAACAAGAAAAAAGTGGCTAAATCAAACCCTAATGACAAAGGCTCTAATCACTTATAACCATATTTCTATTACTTTTTCCACGCAAATGGAAAAATAAATTTCAGAATTAAAGAAATAAGATTATTTTCTATTCTCAATTTCTCTCTCAGAATCAATCACAACTGACTGGCTGCATTACTGATCAAAAGCACCACGCTAAATCAAAATTTTTCAAATGCAATCATTGATGCCATACAGTAGTACTACTATATTAAAGCACTATCACACATAATGATGCAATTAGTTTTCTTCACTGAAAGAAACATGTTTAATACTTGCACAAGTGTATGTCTGAGCTTACCTGCTTCTCCCATAAAGATGTCAACAAGCGCAAAGCGACAGCCCTTAGATGTGGAGTGGTTCCAAGAAGTTGGATTACTCGTAGAATTTGTCCTATGCACACCTAGGAAATATTTTAAAAATTTACATTTCATAAAGTAAATGTAGATAATCCCAAAATTACCACGAGAATTTTAAAACCCCTCATTATGAAATAAAGACCTATATGGAAGCCTACTATAGTCTTACCCATCTTCTCAAAGGTTGGGGATAGCTTTGGGAAGGGTTAGCTAGCAATCCTGAGAACATAAAGACCTTACTTCAGGTAACAGCCAATGGAAAAACTTGGCTAGTGATTTAAAACAATTTCTTACATATTTTAATAAATACTTTTGGCCCAAAAGAAGAAGTAGTGATCACAGCAAAATTAAGGGCTCAAAATTTTATATAATTAAAACCAAAATTAAACGTATTGCCCATGCCTCACTTTTGTTTTGCCCTCAAGTAAATTGGTTAATATACAAACCTTGTGAACACCAAGTGTAGGTAAAGTATATAAGATATCATTGTATAATACAGGTTCCAGTGGTCTTCCCAATTTGAACAGCAAAACTGGAATCAAATTTGGCACCTAAAATGAATTTAAAGATATTAACTACGCCTTATGAAAGAAATCAATCTATAGAGCAATTATTATTTCATTTTTATTCAAAGGAGTAAACTAAATATATGTAAACTAGGAGACTAAAAACTAAGTTAGCAATTTGTTGTTAATGGTAATTTTATAGTACCACTAATATTCTATCTCTTTTATAATTAGCTGCCAAACACCAATCAAAATAATGTTTTATTAAACATCTATTATTTGATATTTACTCTCAGCAACACAAACCTAGTTAAGATATATCCTGTCCCAAAGAAATTTATAGTTCTAATGAGCAGCTAATACTTAGGATATATAAGTGATAAAATAATTCCATGTATTGAAAAATCCAGTTATGTTATGTTATTCCAATACTAAATACTTAAAATCAGTTGTAAGGTGGGAAGGTTTTAATAAGCGCCTCATTTCACTCTCTATGCATAACACAATAAAATGAGAAGAGTAATTCATCTGTGGATCAGAAAACTTAATAATGTTAAAATAGTAATATTTCCCAAGTAGATCTACAGACTCAATGCAATCCCTAACAAAACATCAGCTGCCTTCTTTGGCAAAATTAAGGAAGTAATTGTAAAATTCATATCCAACAGCAAGGGACCCCAAATAGCCAAAATAATCTTTCTTTAAAAAAAAAAAGAACAAAGTTTGAGAACTCAAACTTCCCAATTTCAAATTTTACTATGAAGCCACAGCAATCAAAAACAGTACTAGTATAAAAATAAAAATATAGATCAATGAAATAAAACCCTCAGAGTCCAGAAATAAATCCTTATATTTATGTTCAATTGATTTTTGACAAATATGCAAAGAAAATACACTTGGGAAAGAAGAATCTCTTTGAAAACTGGTGCTGGATTTCAACAACTAGATATTCACATGTAAAAGAATAAATGTGGATCCCTTCCTCACACCACACATGAAAATGAATTCAAAACAGATTTTAGACCAAAACATAAGATCTAAAAATATAACTTAAGAAAAATAGTTAAAATTTAGTAAACCCTAAAAGAACACACCAACTTCCCACACAGTTACGAATTTACATGAAACTACTATAGGAGTAAATTTTTGTGACCTTGGTTTAAACAAAGCCTTTTTTAGATGAGTACAAGCAACAAATGGAAAATATAGATTTCATTAAATTAAAAATATTTGTCTGTCAAAAAATAGTATAGAGGAAAAAAAAAGACAACCCATAAAATGGGAGAAAACATTTGCAAATCATATATTTAATAGGGAATTTGTATCCAGAACATATAAAGAATTTTTGCAACTTAATAAAAGGAAAAATAACCCAATTTTAAAAGAGCAAAGAATCTTAATTGATTTGTCCAAAGATAAATAAACAGCCAATAAAGAGAGAAAAAGACACTCAACCATATTAGCCTTGACATCAATAAAAATCAAAGCCAGAATGATATATAACTTCACACCCAACAGAATGCCTATACTCATAAGAACAGACAATAGCAAGTGTTGGCAATCATGTGGAGAAATTGAGATCCTCATACACTGGCAGTGGAAATATAAAATGGTGCAAACCCTTTGGAAAATGGTCTGGGAGTTTCTCAAATGGTTAAAGAGAATTACAATATGATCTAGCAATTCTATTCCCATATATTTATCATAAAGAAATAAAAACATCTACACGAAACTTGGATGTAAATGTTCATAGCAGCGTAATTCATAACAGCCAAATAGTAGAAACAACCCAAATGTCCATCAACTGATAAATGGGTAATTAAAATATAGTCTAGCTTTACAATGTAGTGTTATTTGGCAATAAAAAGGAAATGGGATCAATATGGATAAAACTTGAACACATTATGTGAAGTAAGCCAGTCACAAAAGACCACATATTGGATGATTCCATTTATACAAAATGTCCAGGATAGGCAAATCTGTTTACAAAAATCTTATTATAAAAAGTAATTGCTTAGGATTAGGGATCTAAGTAGGAAAAATGGGGTGGGATTGCTAATGGGTACAAAGTTTCTTTGGGGGGGGTGATAAAAATGTTCTCAAATTATTTTTAATTAATGCTTGCAAAGCTCTGTAAATATACTAAAAGTCATTGTAGTGTACACTTTGATTTAATTATATGGCACATGAATTATATCTTAATAAATAATTTTATTTAAAATATTTTTTATCCTCACCTGAGGACATTTTTTCTTTGCTTTTAGGGAGAGAGGAGGTGGAGAGAAGAGAAAGAGAAGCATTGAGTGGCTATCTTCTTGTATACACCCCAATCAGGGCTCAAACCCACCCAGCTGGGTGTGTGCCCTTAACTGGGACTCAAACTTGTGATCTTTCGGACTACAGGATGACACTCCAACCAACTAAGCCACAATGACCATGGCAAAGCTATTTTTATTTTAAAACTTCGATTCAAAATTATTGAGTGAGTTACCTGTTATGAGCAAGAAACGACTTGAATGCACACAAAATTTTATTTTTCTTAGAATGAATCTCAGTTTTGTTACCCAGAAATTTGTTGAATTTCTTCTATACACTGTAATCTTACAAAGCCTATTCCTTCTTAACTTAGAAGGCATTTACTCTAATTTAATTTCCAGGAGGAAAAAATCTTAACCCTACCAACAAAAATCTAACACTTAAAAATTCATTTATTAACAAGCCTGAAGATATTATGCCATGGCAGCATTTAAAGCTATGTATATAATAGCTAAAGACTCACAACACACAACCAGAATTAATGATTTTTTTAATAATTGTGGAGGCTCTATTACAACAAAAGTTTCATCATCCTCACCTTGAACAAGTGAGAGGAGACAAATTTTTGAATTGGCTTCTTATTCCGCATTTAAATTAAAAATAAAAGGTTATCTTAGATTGTCCGTACACGTCTCAATGAATTACCTCTTCTGGGAAGATGTCTACACAGACACTTTGACAGATTCTTAGTTCTGGGAAGGGCAATCAGTACATTTAGTGGCATTTTATAAAATAATTTATTTAGTCATATGGCTTTTAAACAACTGTTTTAATTATATTGTCAGGAAAGAGATAAAGTACCCTTATTTATGCTAAAGAGTACAGTTCCTTTATGAGCCTTAGAACTAAAGAAGTATGTAAGGGTGTTTATTTTCTCTGGCAAGTTTGGATATGAAAAAACAAAATGGGAAACTTTTACAGTAAACAATCTTAGGCCTAAGGTGAAGGAGCATGCATAAAGGGCCCACGGGCAAAGACAATGGCAGGATGGCAGGCAGGACTGAATGTGGGAGGGGGGGGGTGGGTAGGACAGGAGAGAGTAATAGACAAAAAATAGGGAAAATTATAACTTAACAACAATAAAAAAATACATTTTTAATCCAAAAGTAATAGTAATCTTAGGTCTAATACAGTTTTTTGAATATATTATAACCCAAATTAAATCCATAGGTCAATGGGAAAAAAAACCAAAATAGGTGTTATTTCATTAGGAAAAGATATATATAGAAAAATTTTTACATAAAGTATGGACTATTGTTTTCCTAATGAAGTAATATATATGTGTATTTATTGATTTACTTGAGAGGTCATTATGAGCTCTTGATTCTTCTGCTCTTGGGCTTTCTACACTCCAGAGGTAGAAAAGAGAATAAATGCTCTGACTTTATTTTAAATTTAAAATAAGCTGTAAGTGCCCTATAATTTACTGATCAAGATCTTTCGGGTTTCTGCCCTGGTTGATGTGGCTCAGTGGGTTGAGCACTGGCCTACAAACTAAAAGGTCACTGGTTCAATTTCAGTCAAGGCACATGGCTGTGTTGTGGAGCCAGGTCGCCTGTTGGTGTGTGCAAAAGACAACCAATCTATGTTTCTCTCCCTCTAGTTCTCCCTCCCTTCCCCTCTCTCTAAAAAATAAATAAAATCTTTAAAAAATAAAAAAGACCTTTTGGGTTTCTTAAAACTCAACACTTTCTCTCCTTCTGAATGCAAGTCCTTGATAAACAAATTGATTTAGGATGATGGGATTATTAAGGAGCCTCCATTACACAGACTTCTCAGTAAAAACACTGACAGCTAAAGGGAGCAAAGAATAATACATTCAAAGTGCTGAAAGAAAAAAGAAAAAGAGCCAGCGAAAAATACGATATTAAGCAAAACTTTCCTTCAATTATGAAGACAAGATAGAGACTTTTCGAGATATCTAAAAGCTGAGGTAGTTTATTAGTAGGCCTACCTCATAAGAAATGCTAACAGGAGTCCTTCCAGTTGAAAGGAAAGGACACTAGAAGGCAACACAAAAGCATATGAAAGTATAAAGCTCACTGATCAAGGTAACTATATGTAAAAATACAGAATACTGCAGTACTGGTACATAATTCACTTTTAGTTCTGGCATAGAAGTTCAAAGACAAAAGAATAAGTATAACTACAAAAATATGTTAATATATACACAATATAAAAAGATATAATCTGTGACATCAAGAACATAAAACATGGCAGGGGATAAAAACGTAGAAATTTTGTGTGGAATTAGAGCTGTTATCAGCTTAAAATAGACTGTTACAACTATAGGATGTTTTCTGTAAACCCCAGAAGATACTCAAAAGATAATGAATAAGTTAACAAAGCATGTCACTACCAAAAAAAAAAGAATCAATACAACACAACATACGACAGCAACAGAAAAAAAGGGACAAAAAAGCTATAAGACAGACAGAAAACAATGAACAACATGGCAATAGTAAGTCCTTCCCTATCTGTAATTAGTTTAAATGTAAAGGGAGTAAACTCCCTAATCAAAACACAGAGTGACTAAAAGAAAAAAAAACAAGATACAAATACAGGCTGTCTATAAGAGATTCACTTTACATTTAAGGACACACACATAGGCTAAAACTGATAGGAGAAAAAAAGATATTCCACACAAATAGTAACCAAAAGAGCTCTGGCTGGTGTGGCTCAGTGGACTGAGTGCCGGCCTGCACACCAAAGCGTCAATGGTTGGATTC